TTTCTCAACTCTATATGGTAAAAATACAGAAAGCCCATTACCTTTATTAAATCTGCTCAATATTCTAACAGTAGAAAACATTTATAAAATTGAAGTTTAAAATTCACCTTCTCCTGGCACAATCAAAAATTGCCAGATATCTTTAAACATTCTTTCAAATATGCGAAAAATATTCATAATTACAATACTAGATATGCTTCGAAGGACAATTTTCATAAACCCTCTTTTCGAACGAACACTGGTAGACAAACTATACTTTCAGTGGCAACAATTCTCTGGCAAGATCTACCCTCAGAGTACAAACAAATGTCTACATTTAGCTTCAAAAGTAAGATTAAAGACTACCTTTTAAACAAACAAATTCAATTATATGAAAGCTAATCGACCACCTTTAGTATTCCTCTTCAATTCTTAAATTATTTATTCTATTTGTTTGAGTCATTCTGCGTGACATTTGTCACCTTTTCGTGTGTGTTATTTATTGCTCTTTTGCTTATTGTATGTTTCTATATGTTGTATGTGAAGCTACATATCAACTTATAACTTAAACTACCTAGAGTCTAACTTTGAAAACCTTACGGTTCCTTTAGTCTCTAGTCATTTCCTTGAATGCAAAGCATATTTTTCTATAAAAATTAATATAAATCCATACTATTGTTTTCTACGAAAAATATGCAATAAAAGTGTAAATATATATAATATATTGGAAATGAAAATAAAGATTGTTGTTGTTGTTGTCACTTTACTTCAAAAGGATCAAATTTTGTTCATTCTGTGGATGGACACGATAAACTAATGGGATACCAGAATAGTACTTATCCCCTAGCGGTTTATGGGTGCATTGACACATCAAGTCGGAAACTTCTTTGGATAAAGGTGTGGGTTACAAACTCAAACCCTAAAGTAGTTGGTCGTTGGTATCTAGAATATCTCTATGAGTGCAGATTGATAGCTTCATTCCTGCGTATGGATAAAGGAACCGAGACCGGAATCATGGCAACAATGCATGCCTTTTTGAGGAATCACCATGAGGATCTGGACGATGCAAGTGAGAGTGTGATTTATGGTCCTTCTACTTCCATTCAGGTTTGTATTTGGAAAGGGGCTAGTCAATTTTTACAACATGGAGCTGTAATATGGTTATCAATACTATTGGGATATGGATCCTGACGCCATAGAACACAAGGCAAGGAGCACTGAAAGTGCCTAACCTTGAAAGTGCCTAACCTCTATGCATGCTTTGTTGGTTTTGTGATAAGTTTGAGAAGTGTACATACAATGTATTTATGACATCAGATGGCAAGATAGGGACTGCTTGAGCTTGTTAATATTGATGAGACAAAGAGTTTTACAAGTCTTTCTTTTGTTTACAAATAGCTTCTGCAACATTCTGGAATAACAGTTAGAGAGATTTAAAATATTGTTTTATCATTTTTTGAGTTTCTTTTAAATGACTTTCTTTTTTTTAAGATTGAGCGTTGGTGGAAGGAGTTACATGAGCGCTTAGAAAAGTACTTCAAGGAACACCTTTATTATCTGAAGGAGAACAGATTTTATGATCCCAACTATGAGCATGACAGGTTTGATAGTTGTTAAATCCAATTCATCTGTATTTAAAATGGAAGGGTTGAATTTTGGCGACTAATTTCCTCTGTATTTTTTTCTTCCCCCATTTAAATCCTGCAATAGCCCTAACTTGTAGGTACCTTACCTGAATACCTTGGTTTTTGAAAATAACGTTTCATTTATGAGTAAATTGAATTTTCGTGGAACGATGTAAATATGCTAATTTTCGAGCTATGAAATGGCGATAAACTGATGRYCTCKTTTGGTTAAYGCAGCAATGTTTCATGCTTAAAACATTTATAAGATAAAAATATCACCYATTTTCTTTCATTTGGGCGAGTTTTAAACTTGTGGCTTATATCTAAAATTTCTGGCAAATTTTTATAAATTACATGTTTTTGATCGGTTAAAACTACTATCAAAATAGCCGTCGATTTGACAAAGACCGATATGATCAAATCAAATTATCTTTGCAGGATAAAATGTCAAGGAAGAGTTCTTTAAATCTATGTAAAAATATTGTTGGGTAAGTGTGTTTATGCTTCGCTAGAACCGACCAAAGTTACCGAAATATTCATATTTTCAACAGGTGTACTACTCAGGTGTGGTGGTACTCCCCTATATTCCCCACGGTGACATTCCGCCAACCAGGGTATCGTTTTCAGCGATTTTACTCTGGAACTGGGTATCGTTTTTAGTGATTTCACTCTGGAACTGGGTATCGTTTTTAGTGAT